ATGTACATCTCTATAAAATGAACAGCATATTAAAATTATTGTTAAAATGCTTAAATGTCAGCATACAAAAAAAATTGCATGAACTAAAACCTAGGCCTCTCAAGTTTACAATAAATAGGTGTAAACATTCGAAGTTTTGTACATCTCTATAAAATGGACAGTACATTAACAGATATCTTATTATCTAAAGGTTTACATGTCAGCATACAAAATATGATACATTAATAATTAAGCAAGCTTAAGTAGTAAAACAAAATACAGCCACACTAGACAAATACAGGAGCTGATTTTTACATTAGCAATGTAAAATTGAATGACTAGAAATGGATAGATTGGCCAATTGACCAATCGATAGACATTTTAAATAATTGTGCATATAAATTTGCAATTGTTGTTTCATAGTGGAAGTTTCCAGTTTGGTAAGAGATGCTAGAGAAGAGACGAATTGTTTTCGTTCAAAACTGATGGTTCATAAGGAAAACGCTCCATCGGAAATACGCGTGATACATCTTGTCCATACACAGTCTGCCATCCGATGCGTGATGCATTGCATGATGGAGCCCGTGTGTATATCGGTGAAGTTTGATGGTAAGAATACATGTTACCTGAACGGAATCAGTGAAGATACTGAAGAAGATATCTTCACCACAGATTCTAACATGGTCTACTATGAAACCAGTCAACAGTACAAGGTTGGTATAGCAACATGGCTTATTTATGAATTGGTAAACTATATTAGCTTACTATTAAATCAGTCAACAGTACGAGGTTGGTTTAGCAACATGGCTTATTATGAGTAGGCTAATTATATAACATACTATGAAATCAGTCAAGGGTACGAGGTTTCTATAGCAACTGAGTTCTGAGTAACATTTATATGTAACTTAGCATACTATGAAAACGATCATCAGCACGAGGTTGGTATAACAGCATGGCTTATTATGAGTAGGTTAAATTACTTAGCAGACTATGAAATCAGTCAACAGTACGAGTATAGCAGTCTTATTATGAGCAGTTTAAATATACAACTTAGCTTATTATGAATCAAGATGCTATCAAATCAGTCAACAATAGGAATAATGTATAGACCCCTTTCGGTGTTTACAATTTGGCCTGGTGGAAACGCTGACAAATGCACAGGAAATCAGGAAACTCCTGGTTATCTTTTTTTTTTTGTGCCAAAATAAGACAGCTAGGCAGACAAAATTCAAATATAACATAGTTATATGCATTAATGGATTAAACAAATTTAAAAATCTAAGAAAGTATAATTTTTCTATTTTTATTCAATTATTAAATCATGGAGTGCGCCACCAGCGTTGGTTTGTATTAAATCAGTAACTAGTACGAGGTGACGTATACCGTATGGTTTACTGGAATTCAACAGTACGAAGTAGGCCTAACTTTATTTACTGTGAAGCAAATCGATTTATAACAGTAAACCTTAACTGTACGAGGTAGACCCAACCAACACAATGCTTACTCCTAACGCAACGGTACAAGGTACCGTACTCGCGCGAATAAGCGCCCGGGCGCTTAAAATATTTTTAGCACTTTTTGAGGGGCGCTTATTCAAACGGGGCGCTCAGCTTATTCGAACGGGGCGCTTATCAAAACAGAGTGGAAATTGAGGGGGCGCTTATGGAAATAGATGAAAATCGAGGGGTTATTATGACAACTTACTAAATTCAAGAGACACATTTTGAATGAAAAATGATTATATAAGGACATCAGGAAACCGCAAATTACGAATGGTGGTTTGGCGGAAAAGATAATCGTCCAGAGAGCATGACAAGAATGTTGTGAGTACATTATTACATAACAGCAGAATAGCAGATGAAATTAGTGGTGGTGGTTACTTTTTGGCCATGCCGATTGAGATTAGCAGGATAGCATGATAATTGCAGGTTTTCTTGAAAACTCAGATGGGAATGTGTTGTTAGGTGCAAATTGTCGGAAAAGCAGTAGGACTAGGCTATAGAAAAAAGTAAGAAGATGAAAGTTGGAAATATACTGTCTGTCCAGAGAGCTCTCATCTGTCCAAGATAAATATCCTCATTTTGATATTGACTAAAGGAGAATGTGATTCCACTCCACACCTCAAATCATAGCAATATCCACAGTCCAGAATTGATTGAATTATTCAAATTAAAAAGGGGCGCTTATTCAAACGGGGCGCTTAAGGAAATTTTCAAGTTGCTTATTCGAGAGGGGCGCTTATTCAAACGGGGCGCTTATTCGCACGAGTACGGTATTTGAAATAAACCAGTGGATCCAAGAATTCAATATGACAACATGACACTCGACTGATAAAATTAAAAATATTTAGGTCTAATTCTCAAAATTAAAAATGAAATTTAGAGATAAATACAATATTAGTTTCAAGAGTTTAGAGCTTAACAGACAGTTTGTTACTTCCACAATGTAACTGTAATTCCTTCTCTCGACAAACATGGACAATGTCATAACAGGGACCCGGATATTTTTATCCTTATATGTAGGCCTACTATTGTTTATCACCTTTCAGATCAGTATCCATGGTCATATTGGGTGCAAAGATAACCAGGAAGTTGGATACTCATGCCAAGATGAATACGTGTGTTGTAATATTGTGGAAAACGTTAACGACTACCAATCATGCGAAAATCTCAGTAAGTTATATAACCAAGTGCAATTATATTAAATGCTTATAGAACACCACGTAGATAGTTTAGAACAATTTCAGAACACCTCTACGTGGTGTACTACAAGCATTTGATATATTATTACTTCATCTTATTTCTTTCTTATGTTTTCATTTGTAATAATAATAATGATAATAATAATAATAATAATAATAATATTATTATTATTAATAATAGTGGGAGCCATTTATATTTATAAGGCTTAATTAGGCCTATTAATATAGTTTATGATAATAACAATATAGCATTATTTTATTTCTTCCAACTACCCATTTCGGAGTATTAGAGAATATCATAAGCCTTAATTTAAGTTAAAAAAGTGAATAAAAACAGGATATAATACTAAATAATACGGAGTATTAGAGAATATCATAAACCTTAATTTAAGTTATAAAAGTGAATAAAAACAGGACACAATACTAAAAATAACAGAAGTTCGATCTATAGAGACCTGGCTACCCAGTGGCTGATGAACAGATGCAGATATCTACTGTTGATTTGGCGTTTTAAGTTCACAGTTGTACTTTTATTTCTTTATGTGTTAATATCGGCTGAACTTTGCTTATATCTTGTCATGAGTACAGTCTAAAGAACCACCTCTTGTAAATCAACGGGTGGCAGTATTCACTGTGTAATACGGAGATATTAAGTCAACAGCTTGATTTCTTAATATCAAATTAAACATTAAATACATGCTATTAACATCTTGACATTTCTTATATGCTAGCCTACACTATCCTACGTCATAGCACCAAGTACGGTGCAGTATATTGCGATCAGTTACCGTAGCGCCGCCTATAAGCCTACATGCTCATCGGATAATGGTTCCAAACCAAAGCAACAATATAGGCCTCGACATTTTTTTACAATATTTTTTAGAATAATCGCATTTTTTTGTGTGTTAATTCACCCAGTGAAATGTGTATTTCTATGAATGTTGTACAGTAACACCAAGATGTTTGAGACCGGGATAAAAATGTTCATTTAGTCCATATATAATCTTATTATTATTATTATTATTATTATTATTATTATTATTATTATTATTATTATTATTATTATTATTATATAGTTTCACAGTTTTAATTAACAAATTGCAGGCCTATGTTTTAAGAGAATTGCTGAGTTATTAAACGTGTTTAATTGCTTACGTTTACCAGTGGCGGACCGTAGAGTAGATTGCAGGGTATGCTAGGTATTGGCATATCTAGGATGTGCGAGGGGCGCGCACGCCCCCCACCCTCCCCAGCAAAAAAATACTCGCCCATCTCCCCAGTCGCCCCCGCCCACAAATCATGCTCAAGTAGTTATAAATCACCTCAAATCACCTTATTTTGCTAGTTATCCCCCTCACCTAATCACCGATATCAGCTCCCTTCCATTTCAAGACCTCTACGCCACTGATGCTACGGCCTGCTAGTAGGAAAAGTTCGTAAGCCTACTACCATACAGAATCAGATTGCATTCTATAGTCAAAATAAAAATGTATGTCATTTTTAATACCGGCATAGTTGTGTATCTTCTCTACAAGAGAATTTCTATTCCTGTATTTTAAGAAATTTCTATTCAAATAATAAAAATAATTAAAAGTTTCTTCTATACCGTTCATATGTATGCACATTTATTTAAACTTCAATAATTGAGATTAGGCCTATAGATAGAATACCAGTACCAGATCGGCAGTGGAGGTCCTGATTTGTGAGAAGAGAGCATGCGCACATACTCTTGGAAGCACCGTTTCCATTAAGTATATGCTCAGAAACTCTAAGCAGCTGAGTACGATAGCGCAGACTGTGTTCATCCTAGATACCAGAGTTGGCCAAACATTGAAAAACTTTGGTATTCCAATAAACTGTAGCAATCCACTCGAAAAATTAATGTTTATATAGAAGATCATGACTAAGGAATGCCTAATAAAACCATGGACCTATTAATAAGATTAATAGGTCCATGATAAAACGTAGAAACTGTACTATTATATTCTTTTTTATTTGTTTTACCCAGGGCGTGCACTGCATACCTTGCTTGCATTGACGGTCCGCCACTGGTTTTTACACATTATGTCTTTTTGTTTTAGTTTGCAGTGAATACATCACAGGATTAGTTTATGAATACCGCTTTGACAATCCAAGACTTCTAGTCGGAACATCAAGTATCGAGTTCAGTGTCGCTGCCTACCACGATGTTCATATTTGTCTGTCGTCAATGCCAGAGGTTATGAATCCTATGTATGAAATTGTTATAGGAGGCAACACAAATACGGTCTCTTATATCCGTCGTTGTGCACAGTGCAACAGCGAAACCAGCACCACCAACACTGTTGTCTCTCCCTATGTTTTTACGAAGTTTTGGATATCGTTTGATAATGGTTTGATAAGAGTTGGTATTAATGGTGAGGATGCTTTCATGACGTTTCAGGACCAAGATCCACTCGATGTATACTATATTGGTTTTTCTACGGGATTTGGAAGTGGAGGTCTTTTTCGATTTTGTCATTGAATGAAGTCTAAGAATCGGACTTGCACATTGCACTGCAATTTTCATTTACGACCGCGACGCATGCGACGAGGCTCCTTAAAAGTTATGATAAAATTGATGAAAATATAAAAAGATTAAATTGATAAAATCGATAAAACAATAAAAATGTTCAAATTAAAATAACTGATAAAAGCATCAATGGAATATTAAAACAAATTGAAATATCGAGATCAATATAATACCGTACGGTATTCATTATCT